AGTATCGTGGGTTAGATCGAGACATGGCAGCCGTATGGGATATGGCTTTTAGCCGATGTCGGGGGACGATCCCAACCTCCGCTGCAGCGCCAAGCAGATGTGCGCGGGTGAAACCTTAGGGAAGTCTTGGTGCTTTTGTTTTGGTGGGGCGCCTGCGCATCGGATTGCTTGTGAGACTTGGATCTGTTTGTAGTTGCCTTTCTGTAGCTTGTGATATGCTAGATTGCCTTCCTGTAGAGCTTATAAAATACATATTAGCAAGGCATACGCTTCTCGGCGTTTCGAAAGATACCCCATGATCGACACGATTGAGTCGGTTCGTGATAAGAGCTGTTTATTTATAGTCAGGGGTTGCGTCTGAACTCGGAGCTTCGGCATATTGCCTCAGGCTTGCAATAAATAAGCATAACATTGGCAAGTGGAACGAGTTTATTAATGTCTAAACGGTCGGTGATATTACTTCGAGTCACTATAATATGAGGATTTACAGAAGCAACCTTGAAATACAACACCCGAGAGATGCGGCGAGGCTGTACTTTACACAAAGAACATCCGGGCTCGGATAATATCTCCATCAATTTGAAGCTATCGGAAGCTGACGGTAAATCCCACCTCTTCTCTTAGGGCATGATCTTCTATGGTCATATGATAGTTGGAAAAGGCGTTCCTTTGCCTGGGGGGTTTCAGCAAATCGACGTCCAGAAAGACGAAGTAGGTCTCAGCCATCGAGAAGCGATGTTGCAACTGCCATCCAAAGATGATATCCTGATAATATCTTGATTATATCCTGCTTATTCTCATAGATGCCCAAAGCCGAAGAAAATTGTCTCACTTCCCCTCTGCCAATTCTCTAGCTCCTCGTAGTTCCTCGCGACCCCAGGCCACTAAGGCTGGATGTAGTAAGATTTTCGCCACCTTGGCACATCAATGGTACAGACCCAATTTTAGTAGTTCTCTTGACATCATGACCTCCAGCGATCAATTGCAATATCTGTTGGTGTTGAGGTTAATGGTGTTGTTAGTGAATGTTTCTTTTCCCCGGGACATTCGGAATGTAAACCTCCGACAGGGGGGTGTATACAGACATGGAGATCGCTCTTAATTCAGAAGAACAAGTAATCAGGATATCTTCTGCAAAGACACGCTATGATGCGTATCTCCACAGTTCGAAAACCGTCAAAAACAAATCCGTGCACATAAAGATCGCTACTTTCCCTCCTGAACGTCTTTTTTTCACATTCAACTCAGAATAAATACCAGCCACCTACCCCCTACCTTCAACTCCCAACCTCTTAAACCACCCTTTTAAACCACATCCCTCTCCCATAACAATAAATCATCACATCAAAGCCTAAGATGAAGTTCCTCGCATGCCTTCTTCTGCTGGCTACCTCTGCCATCGCAGCTCCTATCACCAACACCACCAAGGTGTCGAAGCAGTTCCACCTTAAGTCCAGCGGTGCCACCAACGCGAATCACAACAACCTATATGTCTACTCCTACCACACGGGCGCCGGTCTCAGCGACGCCGTGCTCACCAGTGATGTTAGCATAGCCAGTCCTATCTACCTGAATGGGACGAACGCGCTCGTTGATCTGAAGACTGAATTTTCTTGGGGACTAATCGCCACCGGCGACACCAACTATGCCTGTGAGTATCGCTACATACTTTGGAAAATTCTTCGTGTCACATTTCAGCCTGGACTAAGCTAATATTTTTCATTCACTTAGCTTGGGAACCTATCGTTATCAACGCTGGCAGTGGCGGCAGCGCAGGCTACTCTATCAAGGGCGATGCCTTCCAATGGTCGGAAAACAACGGCTTCGGTGGCTGGCTTGGTAAGAAATCCCTGCGCCTTTATTCGTTGTCCTCTTTTAAGACCCATGGTATTAACATCTCTGTAATAGTCTGCGATTGGTACCACAATGCGCCCCAGTTGTTCTACTTGAACCGTTACTACACTGCCACCATCCCCTCCAGCTGCTCCAAGGTCCAGTTGACGACTGAGTACATCTAGATACCCCACGGTCGCTTGGGGTGATTTGGGCCCCTTTTAGGCACTTAATGATCGACGGTTAGGAGTCCGGTACTCCTAATGTTTACTAGTTAATAGCGATTTCAGCGAATAATGAATATGAGATGCTTGTCTTTTCGCTATATACATTCTGCTAGTTCAAACGTGGATATCAAAAATAAAAATAAACTAGCAGCTGATCAACCGCGTAACATCATGTTTCAACGTAAAGCGTTTCCAGTTTCTTTCCTCGCCGTGCCCGGTTATGAAGCTGCAATTCCTGCGATGGGAACACACGAGTTCTCGTAATACCGCCTGTCCATTCCAGCCTGCAAGCGCGCTTCTTCGTTAAATGGGCCCCGGATCGGTCCCTTGAAATGCTTCTGCACATTCGACCGGAAGACCTGAACAGGATCAGTCCCCTCCTGGGCACATATCCACGTCAACCACCGATGACCAGTGGTGACATGTGTGATTTCGTCGTTGTGGATAACCTCCAGCGTCGCCACGCTCTCACCATCGCCAGCTTTGCGGAACTTCTCAATCGTCATGGGGTTGACATCCAGACCTCGTGCTTCGTGCACCAGGGCGATAATACTGATTCTCGCTCGGAGATCGTATGCGGTTTCAGTTGCCGATAGCCACAAACTGTGGTGCACCGGGAGCGAACCGAAACTAGATCCCATCTCTTCGAGTCTAGTGCGGAGGAGGGAAAAGTGCTTGGCCTCGTCGCTCGCGACCTTCAGCCAGTCGTAGAAAAATGCCCGCGGGAGTTCCTGGGACGTCCCTTTTGTTTGGAACGTCGCAAAGCGGATGCAGATATCAATAGCCAGATCGATAGCCCACAGTTCGATATTAGCCAGCGTATGGAGCATAGCAATACGGCTCTTCAAGGTCCCGCCTCGCCCTGCCTTCGGCATGTGGCCCGGATCAACCGTTTGCATTTTCTCGCGCGGCGGCTGGTCAGGCGGGGCGACAGTGCCCCTTCCAAGCGGCATAGGTGAATCAGAAGCCTCCCTAGTTGTGAAAATAGAGAAAAGATGCGTAGCCAGCTCGATCTTGTGCTCTGGATTGGCGGTGTTGAGAACGTGGGCAGCCCAGTCACACAGCGTCGCGTCGTCGCCGAGATAAGTCGCCATACCGAGATCATCTGGACTCGCAGAAGCAGAAACAGAAGTAGTAGTAATAGCAGCAGCCTTCTCCGCAGGTTGCGGGTGCTTGAACTGCACTTTCTCACTAACAGGATCGACACTAGCAAGTCCCACGCTGACCCCATCCTCAGCGGGGAAATCCAGCGCGACGAACTCGCCGCGCACATCCACTGGGAACGTGCAGGCCTTGATACCAACACTCGATTCACCGGTCTCTACATTGAAATCGTATGCGTGCCACGGGCACGACACGACATATGCCGAGTCCTCAATGTCAACCGAGGAATCGGCCATTGGGCCGCCGGCATGTGGGCATTCTGCCTCCATGGCGTAGTACGACCAGCCGTCATTGGTCTCGTTGGATTTCAGGCTTGATTTGTCGATCGTCGGGAGCCGGAATAAGACAAGTTTCTTGCCTGTGGTCAGGTGAACCACGTACCGCGCCTGTGTGAAGTCGGATAGTTTCCCGCAGTTGATCCACATTCTGATTTTGGCAAGCGTCGCTTGTAGCCTGTTTGCGTGATTGGATGGGTTTGTGAGGCTTTTCGCTTCGATTGACTTAAATTATCACGTGACGATGTCTATGGTCCCACCTTTTCGGTGCGCATCAATATATCTTGTTGTAGGCCATTTATAGGGGCACCTAGCTAGGTACGCTGTATAACTAGATTATGTTATAGTCTACCCTTCTCATTCTAAAGATCATCAATCTCGTGTAAATCATAATGTAAAGTATGTAAAGTATGTAATTAATATGTCATGGATACGGTAAACTTTCACGGTAATTACTAGTATGAGTGGTACATATAACGTACTGTAAAAAAAGGCTGTACATATTTAATTAGGAATAGTTATAACTAGCCAGGGTATAAAGTACTAACTACCTGCATCAATTCCAACTAAAATAAGAGAGATAATAATAATAATAAACAATGGTAAAAATCTAATGGTAAAATACATGTGAAAACTCTGCGTATGTGTCGAATACTGTTGGGTTCTCGACAACGTCATAATATTTATGAAACTAATGATCAAGCCATTATTCGTCTTCTTGTCACTTTGCATGATTCCCCTTTCTTTCCAGTCCAAAAATTTGACTTATTGATAAACCAATCATAACATACAGCTGGGGCAAGATTACTGAACACTAAGAAGATTGCTAGAAAATAACTAGTTAAATAGCGGTGAAAACATCCTTGTTAGATACGTAGGCTCGGGATCCAGTCTTACTATGCACGAGAAAGTACCAGCTATCACCATCACTATTGGCGTCTATAGCAATTCCTTTAGAGGTCAATGACTATCCACAAATAGCCATGAAAATGTGATGGAGCGGCAGATTGCAGCGGATTTTAGACGCCTGGTTCCCCAAAAAATGTGGGCCTCGCTTGTCTCAATTAATAGTCCGTAACTTTCCTGCTGTCGCAGATTTTTCCCTTTAGCATGACTATTTCCCTTAATATTTAGGCTATTAAAAGCCGTCTTGCACTTATATAAACTTGGAGTGACTTGACTTAGGTAGAGTGTGAAGTTGAAAAATACGTGGTTTCTTACTGGTATTCATCACGTCTGTGACGACTTCCCAACCAACACCAACACTTAAGCACATTCTGCGACAGGGGGGTTGAATAGGTCTAGGACAAATAATACCTAGTGCTCGCTCTTTTATTTCTCTCGTCTTTCGACTTCTCAACTTTCCACTTTCAATTCACGTTCCAATTTCCAATCCCCAGAGCCATCAGTGCCGATTTTTACTCCTTAGGTGAGACACTCGCTAACTAACTCTAAAATGTTTTACGATAGACTAACATGATCCACAGAACACTATCTGAAGATGAATACTGGTCCCAACCATCCGATCAAATGGGGAACGTATCGAGAGGGTGTCCTGTCCCAGCTGCAACGATTTGAGTCCCTGCCCCAAGATGGCCTCAAGTTAATGGAGTCTTATCAGGCTGTCCTTGATAACGATGAGACTTTCACCCAATATTTCTCAGACAAGCCACTCGAAAGTTACACTATCGAAACACGTCTAAGGGAAACATTGGGGATTCGTCCTCCTAGGCAGAATAATCCCTCAATTAGCTGGGTCAACATTTTCCGACACGGCAGTTTCGAAATGCAAAGTGATGGCTCCTACCACTGTTATGATGAAGGAAAGCTCGTGGAAATTGACAAGTCCCTTCACAAATGCATCCTACTCAACCGATGCTTCCTCCCGACAAACTCGTACCTGTGGCCAAGTCCTGCCGACGCTGAACGAGAAGCTGAAGTCACTTTGGCAATCGAGGCAGACATCCTGGACGAAATCGACAAAAAGATCAAGTGTGCGTACCTCCCAGACTTTTTGACAAAGCTGGTAAGAGACATACTAATGAAAACAGATGTGGAGAAATTGAAGCGACTTCAGCTGGCTCTGAAGAAACGCCGAAATAAGCTCCAGGGCATTCGAGACCCCACGAAAAGGTCTCGTACACCGCAAACCCCTGCACAGTACCCTACACCAAACGAGTCACGTCGTCCCACGGTCTCTGTTGAGACACGCGATGCCCGTGCACGCAGTTCATCCGAAAGCTCGGGTATCTCAAGTGGATCCGATATCCCTTTCGCCGTCTCCGGTGATAACTCAAGGCCACTATCGTATGACAGAGATGATGCGGCTGGCAGCTCAGGCCAAGAGCATTCGAATCCCATCGATCTCGCCGAAGGCAACCAGAACGCACACGATAATAAGATGGGAGTGTCGGTGGCTAGACGTCGCAGCAACAGAAATCCTGAGGTCGCACCAATCCAGCATGACAAACAGAAGTCTAAGCAATCCCAAGGAGATGAATCGCCTAAACACCAGCTCGATGACAACGAGGACCTGGTGCAACCACCTCCAAAAAAGCAAAAGTTTGAGACTGAGCCGCTCCCAACAGATATCGTCCAAACAGATATCATTCCAACAGACATCGTCCCAACAGACATTGTGCCAACAGATATCGAGACTATCGACCTTAGTGAAGAATTGCCAATGTGGAAAGGAAAGGTCGATACGCCCACTAAACTGCAGCCCAAATCTTCCACTGGAAAGCGCATAGGACAGAAGCGAACACGGAATAACTTCACCGACTACGAGAAGAAGCACGCCCCAGCCTGGTTCAAGAGCCAGATAGACGCAGGAAGGCTCCCGGCCGATGTTGAGAAGGCCTATGTCGAAAAGTTTGGTGTCTTCCACCGCTTCCTCACAGTGAAGCTGTGGGTCGACCGAATGGAGGAAAGGGCCGGTAGAGCACAGCCCCCGAGCAAAATCGTGGTATTGAAAGTACAACTCCCGTTGCAGCTTCATATGGCCTTCTTGAATGACAATTCCTCCTAGCCGATCCGGAAGTTCCCAACGAGCCGGGCAATGTCACCGGCAGCTGTCCCCAGTACTAGTTTTCCCCCCGCGCCGCCCTATGTATCTCCATATCCCTTATTCCGCCCTAATGGGCAGCCGGGCTCATCCGTCGCGTACCATCTGGACTGGCCCTCCAAACTGGCTGGATTACCCTCAACTAAAAGTGGCCTTCCGAACGTGTACTGATAGTGACCTGGATCTCGGTTATTGCAGGTCCTCTTTCAACTGATATGACTTTCGCATTCATTTTCAAGGCCCAAGAAGCTCGCTCACGGTATGTTCCATCATTTGACAACATCGTAAACACTTTACTAATCTACCTTCTTACAGAATTCTCGTTGAGCGTGAAATTTATTTTCCGTTTGTGGTGTATGGATTCTTCGTGCAGCTGGTTTACACTTATTCTCATATCGCCCACTTCATATGCTACTTACCTTGTAATAATACCATTTTTACTATTTGAGGCCACCCACCTAGTTCCCACAGTATCAAACGGTTCCAGTGGGTAGACGCATCCATATGTAGAGTCTCCACACCTACGTGTCTCCTTTCTTTGACGGCCACTGTCACTCTTGATGTATCTCCTTCGACGTACCCTATAATGCACTTCCTCAAATAAGTAGTGTGTAGCTCTTCATTCAATTTATACCTCAACGATCCATCTTTGTCTCGTCAATTCAGCCCCACAATCCGTTCCTTGATGCAGCCTCCCTTCTATACCGTCTTTGACATCATTGATGTAAACGCGACTTTCACTAATCCCGCCAGGGCAAAGGTGAACATTTACACTCACCGCCAGCGTAAAAGCATTCACACTTCAGAACAGCCTCACCAACGCCTCGAGCTTGGCTAACACAATCATCCGGCTTCGGCCTCTGCCAACGACCCCGTACCTAGATTCACAATTTTCAAAAACTGGGACGAATACAGTTTTTATGGTTTCTCGATGTGGGGTCTCAAATGTAAGACTCAGTATTCTAGGAACTTACATGGCTTCTACTCAATCTCAACCGCCATGCATTTCGATGCTTTTTTAGGGCTCGCTCTACAGGCCGCTCTCGTTGATAGACCGCCGGCATCGTTTAGTTCGCGTCCATATAAAGAAAAGGCACGCCGAAGTCGTCACCTTATATAGGATTGTATCATAATAGGTGTGAATCAAAGGTGAAAGGCTCACTCTCGCTTTAACATGTGTATTCATTTGACTAGTAAACCGCGTAGACCGCGCGTTTCTACGACTATTCCTCTTGACTCAATTGTTCCTTTCTACTTTTCCCAAACTGTTTACCTCCTTCATCATTCCGAACATCGTTCTAGTGATTTGGATTAACTGCATTCATTCACATCCCGAAGCTGTGAACGAACTATGGATCATTACCACCCTCCTACCCAGGTCCCGGACCAGGTAGCGACACCTGGTTTCTCGTCGGGTGAAACCGACAGGATGCTCGGTCCATATGTCGCACTGCAGAGCGACCTTGACGAGGCTTACAAGAAGTACCTCGAATATGCCGACGTCATTGGTAGAGGCGACCGACTGGCACCTCTCGTGGGCGACTCGATTCTCTACCCCGAAGTAGAAAGAACAGCCGCTAGAATATTCGGCGAGCCACGCCCACGCTTGGTTCAAGGCAACGTCCAAGTACCCACTGAATGGACCGATGTCCTTCGTGAATCGCTAACTCCTGGGGATTTCCAACGACAGGAAAACGGCATGTTCCTGTGCCGCGTTCGGGGCAGTTTGATTGAGGTTTCTGATGCGAATTACCTTGAGATCCTCACCGGCGTCACAGAACGACTTTTGCAGCCACTCCAAAACTTGTCCGATGAGCAGAAGGAGACTCGAGTACGCCTCAAACTGGGTGCCTACCTGCATCAGACACACGAGTCACTCGTCCAATGTAAGCCCGCCCACTTCTATGACTTGTTCGGTTTCCAAACTAATGTGACATTCAATAGTTGCCAGCGCAGTCCGCGAGTCTATCATTGCTTTGGGTGTAACCCCGGCTATTCATGATATGCAGCCCAGCTCCATTGGATTTGCTGAAGCTCGACTGCCCACCCCAATGTCGGCCCCACCCGTGACTTCTGCTCAGTGGGTGCCCTACATGTCCATGTCCCACCCAGAAGGCAATCTCGATGAGAGTATTGTCAAAGAAGAAGAAGCAGAATTTGTTCGGTTTGAGCCCCCTAGGATCCGTGGGAGCCATCTGGCGGAAAGCAGACATCCTGACAACAGAGGAAGGGTTCAATCTGCGCGGTCTGACGTTTTTCGAGGTAATTTCATTGATTCTATGAGCGAGCGCAATGGTTATACCCCGTCATCTGACGACGATCTGAGTTCCATTGATCCAGCCAGCAGCTCGGATTATTATGCCTCGTCAATTGGCATGACTCGAAGCAACTCCACTGATTCAGCGAGCCACAGGATCGCGATGGATGCATATCACAGTATGGTAGCGGCCGCTGCTTACCTGAACCACAACAACTATTTCGATCCCGAATTGGTTGATAGCAACGCCCTCTCTATCAGGAACAATCATGTGGTCGAAAACACGAATGCCAATCTCAATTCCGATGTCAATGCCCGTACTGAACCGTCTAATCTCACCTCAGAGATGAACGTTAATTCAATCACTTCATGGTTGCGCAACATTGATACTTCCGGTGATGTAGGCGACGATGCTGAATCATTTGGATCCAACATCCCTTGGCCGGCTCAATCCGAGGAGGCATCCCGTTCGGCTGATACCGCTGCAGAACAATATGGAACGAGATACCGAGGCGTAAAGAGACCCCGAACTGATTGTTCTTCCAGCGAATCTGAAAGTAAGCCAGGGGCCGGTACAAGATACTCTCCAAGGGAAGAGGCCGGCGGGCCTGCATTTATGAAGTGTCTGGTCGACAAAGGATCCACTGCCGCCGAAATCGAAGAAGAATACTTCAAGATGTTCGAGGTTTCCCGGTCCGCGAGTGGTCTTTGCAAGAAATTCGAGATCAGAGGTACTTGGGGGATGCTGAAATCTCACCGAGAAGCCAAGATGCAGAGGACTATGGTACGCAGCCCATTACTCCAGTCTTATATGGAACTTTACTGACAACTCTTCTAGTCGTCCTAGTCTTGCTGTGATCGATACAGGTGATTGTCCTATGGATTTGGAGCCCAATTGGCTAATGAGGATGCATATGAGATGGAATGTCTCTGGAAGGAAACGGGATAGCAAGGCTGTTAGTCTAGAGGGTTGTGAGGACCTGGAGGCATCATAGCAGGTCATGGCCACTCTCTTAATGACGACTTCATGTTATTACAAGCCCATGAATCCATACATAGCTTATCACCAGAGTAAATAATGGTATGGTCGGTGTCGGCAGATAGTAGTAGGCGTACATAGCTAGAGTCAATCTGTAGTGGTTTTTCCCGTTGTACTCACAGCAAGTAGATTGGCCTCATGATCGAGATCGAGACTGAATTGTTCCCTCTCCTCCCTCCATCTTCTTTCTTCTCATCACCTTTCTGTTCATCGCACCAACAACGCGTCTCAACTTCTAAACCAAAGCCTTGTATCCTCATTACTCTCTTTTGTTTCCTTGTCGCATGAACAGTTGCCGCCATTATGGGTAAAAAGAAGGGTGTCCGTGTTGGCGTCCGTGTTGGCCAAGTTGAAGCATTGCACGCAACTCAACCTGGAACCAAGCACCCAATCGAATCATCCAAGGTTATTCCTGAAGAAAAGAAGACTTCGGCCTTCGGTTCTGATGCTGAGCTTGAAAAGTCTCTCAATAAGTTTTTCGGTGGTCCTCCTTTTTTCTTGATCCTACCTAATACCATTAAGGGCCACGCCAAACCTTCGACGGGCAAGAGAGCGTGCAAAGGCCGCTGGCACCCATTTGTCGTAGTTACTTGGATGGATGTACTTTCTGAAGCAACAACCGCAAGTCAATTTCAGCGCCAGGAAAATGGCATGTACCGGTGTCATGTTAAAGGAAGGTTGATTGAGATGTCTGCGGAGAATTACCACTTCATCGCATTGGGTTACCCCCAACGCATGATGAATTCTTCATACCTGTCTGAGGCACAGAGAGGACAAGAGGCTGCTGGATTTGTGGGAGAACAAGCCGCCAATCCTTTCAATACTGGCGTGAATCGTGAGTTTGCAGTCCTCCCTGGTCAGTTTTATGGATACTAATATGGAACGACATACACAGAGCCGCTCAACTCCGTACCCGACCCAATGGACATGACCCGAAGCTCAATTGCAGATCTCTCACATCAGACTGAGAAGAGTACCATGGTTTCATACCAAAATGAGAGAGATATCAAAGAAACCTCCCATGTGGCCGAAGAATTCCAGACTGAAACAACACGGCTTCGCCCTAATCGCAGACAGGTTAGTCTCCAGTCTCGTCGCAAGCAGGGCTTCTCTGGTCGAACTCCCATTTTGATGGCAAACAACCCAGTTAGATCAGACGATAACCCGGTCAAATCTAACGTTCCAACCCACATTGATGATGGCGGTGCAGGAAGCTTGGACATCCCGAAACAGTCTCAATCAGAAACAAGTGGTCCCGGAAACAAGAACAAACCTTCAGTTCCTCCCCATCACGAAGGCTCTTTCCCCCCTGGACCCCCTCTCCGAAGAAAGAATGGCGCGTGCGAGAGGGTCCAGTCGCACCCAATACCTCCCCTCGTGCAGCGCCGACTATTCGGTATTCCTCGCGCGAACTAATCGAGGGGCCAGCCTTCATCAAGTCGCTCATTGAGGGCGGCACATCGTGGAAAGAACAGGAGGAGCTGTACCAAGCCGAGTTTGGTGTTTTTCGCTCCCAGTTTAGACTTGTCAAAAGGTTCGGCCTGGTCGACATGAAAAACTGGGGCTTTGGCAAGGGGGCGTTCAAGAAGTCGTCGAGACAACTTAAGTCTCAGGTATGATATCTTCCAATCCCTTTCACTCCCCTCTCTCACTTACTTGATCAACCGATTAACATCTCTTAACAGTCGACCTCCACCAACGTGGAGCGCCGGGAATCTAGCCCGATTGAGGCTTCCCAGGCCATCCGCCGCGCGCGGGAGAAGAAAAGGGACAAGGGGAAGAAAAGGGACCCCGGCCCTTCCGACCCTGCGTAAGTCAGTGATTTGAGGTCGGGCCGGGGGCCTAAATTGCTAGTTCGAACCCAAATCTCGACAAACGAATCGAGACCCCGCCAGCAGGGGACAGAAGGAATATGAGCTTTGGGGGTGATGATACTCCCTGAACATATGTAAGATTCAGAATCAGAAGCACAATGAAAGCGTACGCAAAAGTTATGATGCAGTCGTAAATTAAGTTGTTAAGTACATAAGGTATAATAATCTCGGGGTCGGAACTCAACGTTTCGTTAATAATAGAGAACTAGGTTCATTCCACAGTGGACGTATACAACAAATAGGAAAAAGAACCTCATGTCCACCGTACATGCTTCAAAAATGTGTTCTTACAAGGCGAGAGCAAGACCCAGCACACCAACGGCTCCAGCAAGACTCATGGCCATACCAGTGGGGGCGGCACCACCATCGGCAGAGGTGGATGAAGCAGAGCCGGAAGCCGAAGCAGAAGCCGCAGCCGAGGACGAAGCAGCGTCCGAGCCAGTGGCAGCGGAAGAGGAAGACGAGTCCGTGGTAGTAGAAGTAGAATCGGTAGAGGACGAAGCGTCAGAGGACGAAGCGGCAGCGGCAGATGATGAAGCGGCAGAAGACGAAGCGGCAGAGCTAGAAGCGCCGGAGCTAGCAGCACCAGAACTGGAAGCGCCGGTGGAGGTGGCCTCGGCAGTGCTAGGGCCAGAGCTGCTGGCGCCGGAGCTGGTAATTTCGGCGGAGACGGATGATGCGAAGGAAGGATAGTAGCCCTCAACCGCGGTAGTGACGTACTCCTTCACGCTGTCCGGGAGGCTGCTGTACCAGGTCGGCCAGGAGTTGGAGACAATGCCTTGCTCGACTTGCGAAAGGAAAGCAGCGGTGTTGGTGGCTTCGGCCCAGAATGAGCTTGGGACAGCAGTTGCTAGAACCACGGCAATGGAGGGGGGAATAATATCTGCGAGGCCAGCGTCTCCGGATTCAACAGCGGAGTTGGTGTCGGCCGGGGCGGCCATGGCCATGCTGGCGAGGAGGAGGGCTGCGAGAGACTTGGGCTGCATGGTGACGGTTGGGGGAAGTAGATACTCGGGGTAGAAAGATGGAGGAGATAGAATGGATGTGAAGACGAGCTATCTCTGGTGTAATTGACCAAGTAGAAGAAAAAAGAATCAGCATCTGGGGGCTTTATACTTAATACACCTTATGCGGACCCTGGAAGGTATTGCGAGGCTGCGGCATAGCCCGAATGAGACCATCGCGCTATGTTCCCGCGTTCCACTAGCAACGGCCAATCGCAGCCTCGTCGCCCCCAAAAGTTGTCGATCAAATTGAAAGGTTGCACCTGAGATGTTACGAGAAATCTTATATCGCGCAAGCATTCGCCTAACATCTCCAATGTTGGGGGCTAGGCGCCCTGCTGCAAAATTACCCGACGTACAATGTAGGGCTAGAGGCTACCCTTTTTTTCTGATTCCGGAACTCATCCTCTGTACGAGTCCTGGTATTCCTCAGAGCTGGATGCTACAGTGAATTGAAGGTCCGGTGTTCTATCCGTTCGCCAAGTCCCAAGACCGCATTACGCACGCCTTTTACGGAGCACAAGCCTCTCCATCATTGGATTCGGAGGCTCTTGAACGTGTTTATATGACGTCATTTTCTGGGGGCCGGCAAAATTTACTTGGAAATAATCCTTGCTGCCTTTGTCTGTACGGCGTTTGACTGGTGCTTGGGTGGTATTATCCCCACCTGTCTTGTGTATGGGGTTAGCGGTGCGATTCAAGGGTTCAATCAGACGACATATTATCGAATAGAAGTTTTTATTGTACGTAAACACAACACAGTTATATGCACCGCCCATTCAAACATCTCCTCGATGGCAAGTCATTGGCACAAGGCATCCAATAGGGTCTACAATGTACATCATACACAGCCGTGCCCCACCTGGGCACAAGGCTGTGTTGGGTAAAAGACCATAAATAACCACCTCCATGTAGTGAGGCTCTAGTGAAATCAAATCAGTCTGCAGCATTGCTGCGACATATTAAGTTGGGCCTGTTTGAGCACTCGCCACTAGTGCTTGGGACGTTCATATAGCCACTACGTTCTCGGCATTCGTCATGGTCATGAACCATTCGGGACCGGTAGCTAGTATCTTCTATCTATGTTTTAATATCTCGGTTAATTTATATCGCTGATTGATCACACTTATGTATGCCTGCATACATGTGTAAGGGGCACTATATATATATCTGGTGTCAACGGTAATGGCTATTGTTGTGCCAATTCGGGCGTGAGCCATCGAACTCTACCTATATATATCTCTCTCTTTCGCAGCGATATATCAAGCGTGAATTCTTTTCTTTAAAGAAACATGAAGGCAATGGATTCCGCACCAAAAAGTATTGCCATTTACCGTCAGACCAAGGCACTATGGCTCCACTTGGTGTGTTGATGTCTACAACGTGGTTTTGCTGGCAACTCTCTCCATTAATATACCAGAGGAATCTCAACAATTCGAGACACTCCAAACCAAATCGTTCATATAAAACGTCTCAATCTCATTTTGCATCCAGTTTGAAGAAATACAATACAAAGGGCAAAAAAAAGAAATCTCTCCCTCGGGGAATCGAACCCCGGTCTCCCGCGCTTATCGGTTTTAATGACAAGCGGAAATCATCACCACTAGACCAAGGAAGAATGCGATGGCCGAGTTACTGCTCGGCCACTTGGCTGGTTGATGAAAAAGTATTGAGGCGAATGACACATGTACCGGATGTTCGCAAATGATCCTCGTTGATCCGTGCTCTCTTCCAATCGTACGCAGTTTATTGGCTGGTTTAACTTGTAAGATTGCAAGCAAGATCCCAGGCTATCTGACCAGGCTAGTATTTCTATTCTCCGTGTTAGAGATAGCCCGCCCTAAATCTCACAATCCCCACCTTGAATGTTCTCAAACGGAAAGTCCTGGAGAAGTCCGGGTCTTACAGCCGACTTCCCCGCAGGAAGAAATAAAACCGTTAGGACTCGCATTTTTCTTTGTGGTTCAAAAATCACAAACAATTGTCAATTATGACATCCGTTTTCAAGAATGGGCGCATCTTCGTGCCGTCGCAAGCTCCGGATAATGAGGGGAACTTTGCCGAGTGCATGATCATCGAGAATGACAAGATCTCGCACGTCGGCTCTCTCGATGGAATAACCATTCCAGAAAATGCAAATGTCATTGACCTGGAAGATCGGACTGTCATTCCAGGTTTTATCGACGCTCATGTACACATCCTGCATTACGGGCAGTCATTGCGCAAAGCCGATCTCATCGCATGCACCTCCCTAGATGAAATCCGCGAAGCCATCAAGTCCTACGCCGAAGCCAATCCATCTCTGCCGCGCATATTATGCCGAGGCTGGATCCAAGCATCTACCAATGGAGTCGCATTAGCAAGTATGCTGGAGGGTATCGACCCGCGTCCCATCTTTATTGACTCCTTCGACATCCACTCCATGTGGTGCAATGCAGCTGCTCTCGATGAGATGGGGGCTCACACGGCCCCCGATCTTCCTGGCGGAACAATCCACCGTGATGAAAATGGACGAGCAACTGGCCTACTTGACGAATCCGCTATTATGAACCTTGCATGGCCTTATCTAGAAAGTCTTAGCTCCACGGAAGACAAACTGAGTGCGTTGGACACTGCAGTTGCTGCATACACCGCTGCCGGGTATACCGGTCTAGTGGATATGGCCATGGATGAAGGAACATGGGAGATTCTGAATCTCTACCGTCGCGATCATACCATTCCATTCCACATCGGCGCACACTGGCTCGTCCCTTTCTCAGCGGATCAAAGCGCCAACTTCAAATACGTGGATCGAGCGATTGAGTTACACCACCGGTACAACGAGCCCGATTTCCATGTCCTCGGAATAAAAATCATCTGCGATGGCGTTGTCGATGGATGCACTGCCGCTCTCCTCCAACCATACACCGGTAAAACAGATCGCGTCGAGCCAATCTGGCCTGAGAATATGCTACAAGAAATAGTCCAGCGCGCCGACTCAGCGGGCATCCAATGCGCAATTCATGCGATAGGCGACAGAACCGTCCACCAAGCAATTAACGTGCTGTCAAGAGTCGGCACGCCAGGCCGAAGACACAGAATCGAACACCTGGAGATGACAACCTCCGAAGACGCCAAGCGACTCGGGCAGCTGGGTATCACAGCCTCAATCCAGCCCGTGCACTCGGATCCTATGCTTTTCAAGGCGTGGCCTGGTCTTGTGGGCCCCGACCGTTGTAAGCGCGCATTCGCCTACAAGGACTTCCTCGATGGGGGTGCTCCCATTGCTATCGGCACGGATGCCCCCACTGCGGCTCACTTTCCTTTCCCTAATCTTTACAATGCTACCACTAGGCGCTCGGCGATTCAGACCGAGACTGATGATACTGTAAACGAACATTTCAAGTTGGGTTTGGCTGAGGCGGCTACTGCTGCCACGACTGGTGCGGCTTATGCGCGACATGCGGATTCCTGGACTGGAAGTCTGCAGAAGGGATTATATGCGGATTTCTTGGTTGTTGATATGCAGTGGACGCCGGAGTCATTGCTTGAGGCGCGTGTCTGCCAGACTTGGTACCGGGGGAAGAAGGTTTTTGACTCATGAAGTGATTGATAGCGGTAGCCTATAGACTTGAAATTAGATAGAAGAATACACGGTTGTGCATTCTGTATTCCTTATGACGTCGGGTCTTGTGATGCGGGGTGGACATCACGGTGACATCACCGCTGTTGCCTCACAACAGCCATCACGATGTAAATTTACAATATACAGTGCAGCACACAAGTAAAATATACAGTATCAATTGACAATTTCTTAATTTAAAGTCATCGCTTCATGAAGACATCACTACTAGTTCCGAACCAAGTCTTCCCTCTGAAATTTCATTGTAGTCCCGAGTCCAACGAAGTATATCAACGTCAATTACGGTTCGAGTTGTTCGGGGTGCTCTTGCAGCCCACGGTCGGTACTTATATCAGAGAGGAAAGAATCTGACGCTTGTCAGTACAAAAGCTTTGATCTGAAGAGTCGTAGTCGGGCGTAACAGAGACATACTGTGATCTACATCCTGCGAAGAAGACCGACG